AGGACAACCTCGTGCCCTTCTGGACGTACAGTGGAAGTGAGTAAGGCGAGAGCGCGGCTTGACAGCTCGGGCCGGCCAAGGGGGTCGTCTGCTAACATATGCTCGTGCCCGGGGCATGGGGCACCCTCGTCCAGGGGCTCTCAGGTCCAGGGGCTCTCGCCACGGGGCTGCACGCTGGCGAAGGGGGGCAACGCTGAAGGGGTCGGCGTGAATGGTGGCCTTTGCATGCGCGAGAGAGGGAGGGAGAGGGAGAGGGAGGAAGGGGTTTGTTTGTTGACACGGGATTGTAAACATATGTCAGTTCTCACCCGGAAAAGGTTTAAAAAGTGTGTCAGGGGAGATTACAGTTTGTTTGTCTGTGTTCAGTAACGTCGTGGAGTAGTCGGAAGGCCTTTCAATGTCTGTCCATATGTTGGAGGGATTGTCCTACTTCCCGTCTGTCCAGGATACTGAATCAGCTGTTTTCGTCTCCGGAAAGCACCTGGCTCAGATTATCTGGGTCTTGCTGCTGAAATTACAGATACTAATTGAGCCAAAATTATGTACACATCTGATTCTCAATTCTTGGTGTCGAAGATTTATGTGCGAAGACTTATTAAACATCTGTTTCCTGTTTCAACCTCGATCATGAAGTCTAGTGCATGATCCCACTGGGCTGAAAGTAAGGTAAAAGCCTGACTGCCTGATCAAGTGCCTTGCTAAAGCCCCGTGCCAAAATGGGGAAAATACCCGGAGGCTCGTTGCTTGAGAGGGTGTGGCTTCATAGGTGCATGGAACTGTGGAATCCATGTGTGGTGTGAAGGAGGAGAGTGCCGTAAGAGTTTTGATATAAAAACAATTATTATTTTTACGTTTTCTGGTTAGGCTTAATGACCAGATCAACATGTGCTGGTGCGGATTATATAGCTTGTCTATTTCTGCTGTAAACTACTTTAGTGCTGGATTTAATCCTTAGATGCGCTAACCAAACGAGCACTACAATAGCATATTAGGGCACGAGTATTTGATGTTAGTGTAGCACTGTGGCGGTGGTTGAGAATTGGTCACACGAGCATTGGTCTACAAACATTACTAAGATCCTGGGTTATTGTCACTACTGGTATATACATTGTTACTTATTAGTATTATTTAATAAAATTTTGGCAACTAATTATTCAGTGTGGTTTTAAACGAATTACTATTATTATTACATTTATTTTAATTAAACTTACCACATTTGACAATATCCCTCATTGGCATAGTTTGGTTTTCTGCAACAGAACCTTGTTTGCATTGTATATTATTAGTAAGTGTTCTATACCTCCCATACAATTCCAAGATGGAGTGTAGTTTGTATTCTACTGATGAGTAATGTTAATACTCCAGAATTTTTTAAAATATTTTTTCATGATTTCCTTCTGAACTCCCATAGTAATGTAACCCATGAGGATCTCTAACATTTAGTTTTTCTATGTTCATGACATTTTATTTTTTTGTGATGCTTAGTAGGAAATGTAGCTACTGCTTGTCATCTGCACATTTATCAATGAAATGTTCCCACAAATGTAGAAAATCATGGAATTCCTTAAAAATGCCCCTTTACAGAATTTTTTGAAAAATTTGAATCCAAATTGCTTAAATAGTCTTGAAATTTATTTTCTCAATGCAAAAGATAAACATGATCAGAGGTACATGTTTCCCATCAAAAATATATTTCTAGTCCTCAGTGTTTACATGTTTTTTGGTATTATTTTATGTATAAAAGACTAGAAGAATTCTGTAACTAATATGGTTTATGGAATGCTCAAACACATTCTTAGTATGGCTTTCCTAGTAGCGACTTTTGGTATTAGTCAAGTAATTTATTAGGGTAAATTTATGTTATGAAAAATACAAGAAACCTTAGCCTAAGGTTGAAATAGGTTAGACACTGTCCAGAACAGACCTAGTGAACAGAGAGAAAATGTAAGGCAATGGCCTCAAAGACACTATCAGAGCAAAGTACAGGTAAAGCCACAGTTGGCCTTTCCTTGCACAGCAGAGTTTGGCAATGCTGTGCCCTCTGTGTTTGTACTTTAGCAGAGACAAACCAGTCTCCTTCATGTAACTTCTAGCAAGATACAGCTTGTAGACCCCTAGGTGTTTTAATGTCAAATAAGGAAGAGGTCCAAACTCTGCCTTCTTCAGTATTCATGATGAAGGTTTGGGGGTCTTTGCTGGAGTGGAAAGTGCATTTGCCAACTGGTACTTAATGCCTTCCTATTTTGGACATTTTCCATTGATGTGTATTTTTCTGTAATAGATAGGCTCTATTTACAATTTGTATTCTTCCAGATGCAATTGCGAGCGAAGAAAGCGTGAGAATCACTCCATCTCTGCGGAGTCAGAAAGGTCAGATCTGGACCAAGAATCCTACAAACTTCGAATGGTGGGAAGTCGATGTTGTGTTCCGAGTGACTGGCAGAGGGAGAATAGGTGCTGATGGTTTGGTAAGTACAATTTAGTTTAGAAAATTTGTATTTTCTATTTTACAGTTATAAATAGAAAATCTAGAAACAAGCACTTGTATACTGAGACAAACAATGTGTTGAACAAGTGCCATTGAAGGGAATACTCAAATTTATGACCTTTTCTTTGGCTTCTAGGCAATCTGGTTCACAGACAAACCAGGAGTTGAGGGCCCTGTGTTTGGTAGCTCAGACAAGTGGAATGGATTGGGTGTGTTCTTTGATTCCTTTGATAATGACAACAAGCGCAACAACCCCTATGTTATGGCTATGGTCAATGATGGTACCAAAGTCTACGATCATGAACAGTAAGTATATTAACAATGCATCATCTGTATAAATTACTGATATTTATTTTTCTAGTGGTTAATGTATACAGAAGGACTGCTAGGGAAATATAGCAATCAGTATGGGTAGGATTAGGAGGTCATGTGGCTTGTATGGAAAACTTTGTGGAAGTTTGGCCATTTAGAATGGCGATTGTGATTTCTTCTTTGATGGGTGTCCTGCTGTATGCTTTTATCTTTATAACAATTCATATTACAGTCAAGGTACTATGAATAAAGTCTTATCACTTCAAATGAGTGATGAAAAGAAACTTATGGAATCTTGCAAGAAAACAGCATGCGACTTTCAGATAACTAGATATGCATTAGATGTTCACTTCCTGCTTAAAATTTAATTTCTTTGATTCTAGCGATGGGCTGAGCCAACAACTGGGAGGATGTCTGCGAGACTTCCGTAACAAGCCCTTCCCTGTAAGAGCGAAAATTGAGTACTACAAGAATGTCCTAACGGTAAGTTTGATTGCAGAGGATTGCCTGTCTTATTTTTATGAATCCAGAGGGGGGAGGGGAGCTTTAAAATATATCTGCATTGATTAATTATGTTTTATTGTAATTTTTGTATACTGCATGTATATATGAGAAGTAGGATGTTATCTATTTTTACAATAGATGATAATCTTTATTTTTGAGATTTTGAGCTATGGTTTAGAGATTTTGATGTGACATTCCTTTTAGCTTAAAGAATTTTCATAGGTGTTTTTAATTGAGGAAATTTTTTCATGGGACCAGAATGATTCTAGAGGGTTTTGGAACATTAATAACTTCACACGGACAGGTAAAAACCCAGCTGATAGAGTATGATTATTCAAAAATGGAAGAAGAGGGTGATGTAAGGGATGAAAATGGGACTAGGTATGACGAACCATTACAACCAGTAGAACCATATGAAAGTTCAACCACCACCGAGTCTCCTACCACAACTGGTGCTCCATTGTATGAGTATGACGAGTACACAACAACGGCCTCTCCTGACTCATCAACCACTACAAATTTGCCTGGAGATGACTCTCAGTCGACTACCACTAGTTGGTGGGGTAATGAGGAAGCACCCACAACTGTGAGCCCAGACAGTGAAGTAATTGTCGAGACAGAGTACACACAAGATGCCCCAGAGAGCAGCCACACTTTTGAGGAACCTGTACATGAGAATGCAGAGAGCGAGATGGAGGCTGGCTGGGGATGGCTGGGCACCAGTGAGGGCACACCAACAGAAGATTTGCCAGTGACCTCGACGCCTAAACCCAACAAGAAGAAAACCAGGAGGAGGAGGAGGAAGAAGACCAGGAGAAATAGAACGAAGAAGAGTAAGAAGAGGCTGGGGAGCATGAGCCCGGTAGGGAGGCATGATGGCGTGACCCAGAGAGTGGCACTGTGCGATTCCCAATTGACCAGCTAATTAAGAATGATAGAGCAACCTTCCTTAGGACCAGTAGTTCAGAGTGTGGTGGTGTGAAACCCCTCTAATGATTTTGCGAGTGTTGGTGTTAATCCTTCTAATATCCCGCAGTGGAAGTATTAGGCTGTGGTAAGTGTCGCCTGTTGCATATGACCCCATGAGGGATAGGGAGGAATCATGATTTGAGTAATGCAACTTTTTTTGGGGGGGGGGGGGGTGAGAAATTGAACAAGTGTCAGAGAACATAAGAAGTGTTGCCATGCTTCTCCTTTTTGTTTGTGCCTGTTACCAGATGCACCTTTTTTGTTTGATGCACAAAGTAAGCTTTTCTTGGGAGTCCTCTTTTTTGGCTAAGAAAAGAAAAATATAATTTATTTAGCCTGCAACTTTGTGAGAGATGTTGTTATAAATGCATAATAGTAGAGTATTGTACAAGAAGAATGAAAGTAATTCCAGTTTTGTTAGAAGGGAATGGAGTTTCATTAATGATTACTGAAGTACAAAAGAATGTTACATGCTAATTTGTTTTATCCAATTGTTTAGGAATTGCTAATATTGTTTATTGCATGTGACATACTCTATATGATATTAACAATCCCATCGTTTTGTGTCCCCTTGCTTTTGTTTTTTGTATTTTTGTTTCACCTGGAATGTTCTTGTGCATAATGTTATGATGTATATCCCAGTACAACTTCTATTTTACACTTTTAACATTTATATATCAAGTACATGTCATTGTCATGATGTATATCCTAGTACAACTTTTGTTCTACATTTTTAGCATTTATATATCATATGTACATTTCATTATCAAGATTCCTTAACCCATTCGCCCCATGTGGCAAGAATACATGCCATACCCACTGCAATACACGTTAATTTATTGTATATACACATAGATGGTTCTACATGTTCTTAATCACTAAATAGCCAGTTTATCAGAACTACCTATCTCACCTGTTTACCCTTTTCCTTTACTTTAGGAAAGGGTCTTTTGTATCCTTTCATTGTCTAAAATATTTTAATGACAATTTAATATCATAACATCATAACATCGATAGCAATGGTATTAGTAAGAAAAAAACATTTTCCCGCCAATTCAAGGAATGGGGAAATTAGGATCAGTGACTAGGGCCTACTGATAGACTCGTTGGCGGCTGAGCACATGTGGAGCCATCTGTATGTAACAAAATTCACCATAAACTACAGGGGACAGAGCATAAATCCGGGGCGAATGGGTTAAAGAAATTAATTGATGGGACTTTTTATTACTGGATGAGATGTAAATCTGTTTTTAGATTTGCTTTCTTTTCATGTTAATTTATTTTATTTTATCATATGGATTTGAGTATATTTGTTGATTATTTAGGTAATTTTTTAATTCATTTAGGTATATAACTATTGCTACTTATATTTAGGGGAAAATACTTTGCTAGGGTGATTAAGACTCGGTGATATTAGTTGTATAAAATACACCATATTTTTATAAGGGAGAAAAAACAAGCTTGCAATGCACAGTTAGACTTTAATAATTAAATAGTCTAACTTGAATGTTGCATTGTTTTCATGTCTTTTTATACTTATAATTTTTCAATTTTGGTGTTGAAATTGTGTTTTTTTTATATTGGATCCAGGATTTTAAGTAGAAGCTAGACTTCGAGCTAGACAATTAATTAATAATAATTTTGTTCATCTTTACACAGTTGTTGATCCACAATGGAATGACGAATAACGAAAAGGACTACGAGATCTGTATGCGAGCTGAGAACGTCTATATTCCTCCGAGCGGCTACTTTGGAATCACGGCCGCCACTGGGGGATTGGCTGATGATCATGATGTAAGATTTTGCACGTCTGTCTTTATCAGCTTCATTTTCACTGTGATCATGTTATCTTTCCTGTTATGACTGTTCTTACTAATTGTGAATTTGAAGGTTATCTGTTCAAAAGTTATTAGAAAACATGGTAGACGATCATCACTAGACATTGCATTTCTCAAACTCTGTAATATTCGGGAACCTCATCCGCTGTCCACCCGCCTCTGAGACTGAAGGACTCCTCCCCAGGTCCTGAAGTTCCTGGTGACTTCCCTGAGGTCCCCCGAGGAGATGGCAGTCATGCAGGCCAATGCAGAGGAGGAGGAGAGGTTCCGGCGCGAGTTCCAGGAGTACCAGGAGAAGACCAAGAAGGCGCGCGACGAGTGAGTGGCTCTAGTGTTTGTGTTCTTCCTGCTGCTCCTATACCTCTCCCGCTCCTTTTTATTCCTCTTCCTCTTCTCCTTTTTTCCTTTTCTTCCTCTTGTTTCTCTCCTCTTCCTCTTGTTTACATCCCCCTCTTCCTGTTCTTGTTTTTATCCTTTGTCTTCCTCTTGTTTTTGTCCCTCCTCCTCTTCCCTCTTCCTCTTCTTCTTGTTTTCGTCCCTCCTCTTCTTCCCTCTTCCTCTTCCTCTTGTTTTTGTCCCTCTTCCTCTTCCTCTTGTTTTTGTCCCTCTTCCTCTTCCTCTTGTTTTTGTCCCTCTTCCTCTTGTTTTTGTCCCTCCTCCTCTTCCCTCTTCCTCTTCTTGTTTTCGTCCCTCCTCTTCTTCCCTCTTCCTCTTCCTCTTGTTTTTGTCCCTCTTCCTCTTCCTCTTGTTTTTGTCCCTCCTCCTCTTCCTCTTCCTCTTGTTTTTGTCCCTCCTCCTCTTCCTCTTCTTCTTGTTTTCGTCCCTCCTCTTCTTCCCTCTTCCTCTTCCTCTTGTTTTTGTCCCTCTTCCTCTTCCTCTTGTTTTTGTCCCTCTTCCTCTTCCTCTTGTTTTTGTCCCTCTTCCTCTTGTTTTTGTCCCTCCTCCTCTTCCCTCTTCCTCTTCTTCTTGTTTTCGTCCCTCCTCTTCTTCCCTCTTCCTCTTCCTCTTGTTTTTGTCCCTCTTCCTCTTCCTCTTGTTTTTGTCCCTCTTCCTCTTGTTTTTGTCCCTCTTCCTCTTGTTTTTGTCCCTCCTCCTCTTCCCTCTTCCTCTTCTTCTTGTTTTCGTCCCTCCTCTTCTTCCCTCTTCCTCTTCCTCTTGTTTTTGTCCCTCTTCCTCTTCCTCTTGTTTTTGTCCCTCTTCCTCTTGTTTTTTTTTTTGTCCCTCCTCCTCTTCCCTCTTCCTCTATCTTGTTTTCATCCCACTGCTGCTGTATTTTCCCATTCTGTCTTCATATCAGCATTATATAGGTTTAGTTCAAGCTCTTTGGACTAAAACCAAAGATAAGCAAATGTTTCATGGTTATGAAAGATTTTGTGGGAATTTCTACATGTGAGAAAGTTCACATGTTTTGCTTATCAATTTTGTTTTTCGTTTCAAGACTTGTTTGTTTGCTTTTTTTCCATATATTCTTCAGTTATTTGAGATAAATATTATTGTTATTATTTTATTTATTTATTTATTTATTTATTTATTTATTTATTTATTGTATTTTTCTTAGTTATATCAGTATCTTCACTAAATGAAAGTGAGTGGAAATAGTTGTGAGATCTAGTTTTATCTGGAGAAGTACTTGAGTGTAGAAGGACTGTCCAATCCTAATTTCCCAAGCTTGTGTTATGTAACTGATAAATAGTATGTATTGTGCCCAACCATGCATGAGTAGACCCTATGTAATGTGATTATAAACCTTTTTTTTATGTATATTAGAAAAAGATGGGTTTTCTGCAAAACTGAAATACTGTTCTTTTGTGGCGTTAAGTATATATGATTAAGATTATTGAATTATAAGAATGTCTGATAAAATTATTGTCTTAACAATTGCATATATTGTTCTGTTAATTGTTTTGGTCATATGGCAAAATACCAGAGACATAACTCGCATGCTTTCCCTAGGTATGTAGCACAAAATCCTGATTCCGTACGCAAGGATGCAGAAGAAGAGTATGAGACCGGAGAGCAGAGAGAGTTGCGTCAGATCTTCCAGGGACAAGGACAGGTACTTGATGTTCATTACTGTTGAATAGAGTGTGACAGGAGTATTTGTCATGCCAACATTGTTTCTTTTTCTTTGTCCTTTTGATTAAAGTTAGAGGAAAAGTATGCTGAAATGTAAAGTTTTCAAATATTTATATCAATATTATTTTCTGATATAAGGGAAAAATATTTGTTTACTCTTTGGGAAATTAATATTTTTCTTTTTCTTTTTTTGTTTAGATCCATGATCTCATTCGCAATCTTCATGCCAAATTGGATGAGATAATTGGTCGCCAGGAACGTACACTTGGTCTTGTGTCTGCAGTCCACAGTGGCATGGGTAAGGGTACATGTAATTGTCAATTCATACAAGAATGATTTCCTTTTGATGCCAGTTTTCTGTCAGGTGTGATATGAAGGTTACTCTGTAGCATATTTCATGAGATTATGATGAAATTAAGTGAGTATTCTAATAAGATTTGATTTTCCAGGAGGCCAGGTTGCTCCTGCAGGACAGGTACCTCCAGCACAGGTTGGGGCACTACCTGGGGACACTATTAGGCGTCATGAAGTGGACTCGATCCTGAATAACCAGAGGGACATTGTGGCAACAGCAAGAGATATCAAGTGAGTACTTTGTCTATCCTTTCTGCCAGGTTGTTCCCTATGAACTGCCAGCCCTGCCTACTCACCTGAGGGCGGGCAGTTTGGAGAAAATTATTACAACTTTATGTTACATGTTCCCATTTGGAGGCTTATTTTAGCATTGTGTTATATGTTCTATGAAATACACTACTGACTTATATTGTAGTATAAACAAAAACAAATTCAAATCATGTGATATTGTCATGTGACATGGCATGATGTGGTCATGAGATCTGATGTCACAGTCATCAACAAAAACTCAGACAGACAGACAGACAGACAGACAGACAGACAGACAGACAGACAGACAGACAGACAGACAGACAGACAGACAGACACAGACAGACAGACAGACAGACAGACAGACAAATACTGTAATGTAGCAAGACAAGAAAGTCGAAATAACAAAAGTTATGTTTTATTTAAGTTCAGTAAAGATTATGTTATCAAATCATTATGAGATGTACTTTTTTGCAGGAACTTCGTGAATGATATTCACCAAAAGAGCAACCAGTTATTAACTAACAGCCAGAAGCCTCAAGGCTCGGTCCAGCCAGTTGGTTATGATCTGCATGTTACTCTCAATGAGATGAAGGAAGGTCTGAATATTGTAAAAGTAAGTCTTACCTGTTGGTTGAAATTTACTTGAATATTAACAATTGTTTTTGGCATTATTTCCCATAACTTACAAGTGGCAATGATTCTTCATAGTTCTCATAGTTTTGTGGTAGTAAGCAATATAGTCAAACTTATGAATAGTTGTACCTCATGATGAGTGATGACTGTTTTGCATCATTGTATGTACCAGTTAACATAGTATAGCTTTTGACACGTATGGTTTTCCCACAGCGTGATCTCGGTACAGCCAACCAGCGATTGACTTCTGGGCCTGCAGGCGGGTGCCCTACAGTCAGCTGTGTCTCAACTGGCATGTTTATCACATTCATGGTTATCCAGGTGGTACTGCTTATAGGATATATTATATACAGGTAAGACCATTTCTTTCTTGTATCCTTTCTTTTCTTTTGTAGTTACATACATATTTTTTTTGTCTGATATTCCATGTTTTTTCTTGTCTATACTGTTTATGTATTGTTTATACTCTGTATGTATTATTTTTCTACTTGAAGTTTGAGTTTAACTACAGTTAGTTACTTTTGTATTCTGTTCTCTCACTGTAAACTGAAGTAAAGATAAGGATGAATCCGAAATTATTGCAACAGTTGTAGGAAAGTTATGAGAGTGAATATCTTAAGAATACAAGAGATGTATTTGACTGGTTTCAGTTTTATTTTTGGGCATTTCTGTACAGTCAAAATCAGTTAAACATATCTTTTGTATTTGAAGATCTTAATTCACATATCTTTTCAACATACAATGAAGATAAGGGTTAGAGAAAGCAAATGTATATCTGAATGTTCTCAATACCATTTAGAGGGAGCAGTGGGGACTCTGAGGGCTGCTTAGTGCGGTGGTTCTCATCCCGCCACGAGCACTTCCACTAGCGATTGCGGTGCTAGTAAGTTAGACAACCCTAATCCAGGGATACCATGACGATAATCTTCCAAAAAGCCCTTTTGACCCTGAAGTAACTTGTCTGTGCAACCATAACCCCTGCAGATTTGTAGCCTGTATTTTTTTTCTTGTAATTTTGTGTTTGTTCAGCCCTATTACTCTTTAAATAAATTGTAAATCAGTTTTTCAAAAATAATAATAATAAAAAAAAAATTGTCGAGATAGATAGTTGTTATACTAGAAAATAATTGGATCAAGAGCTGTTTCTGCTTTCTTGTTCCTAGTAGACAAGATACAGGGAGTTTCTATTTTGTTCTTAATAGAATTTCACTGCCCAACCAGTATAATATTGTTGATCCTTGTGCTTCAAGTAAGTTTGCAGTGACCAAACTTTTGTGATCTGTGTGTGTAGTTTGGGCAAGAATTACTAATGTAGTACTGTTGAAGGATAAGATAATAACTCTTTAAGCTTATGTAGATACAACAAAAGTAGCATTTTATAGATAGTGTTTATTAAGCTGCGTTGAAAAAGTGACCGTTGATTTTAATTTCTATAGATTCAAAATAAAGTATTAAGTCGAGTGATGTTCTTTGGGTTGCTACTTTTGTGTTAGTAGTAAATGAACTCACTCAGTGATGAGACTACATTTTGGCTAGACAGTCCCTCATGTCGGGATGATATTCCATCATGTCAAATGTGGTCTAGCCTGCTCAAAGTTATATGTGCCAAATTGTTTTTCAGTTGTTTGTCTGGTTTTGTTCACGGAAGAGGAACTTCCCCTCAAAACTAGGCTGAAGCCTCCTTTTACCTGCATTATATAATCACTCATTTATGGCATAGCCTAGAGTAGAAAATGGGGTAAATCCTGTGGTTTTAATTTTGGCATGTGGTTTGTTGTGGCACCAGGAGCTCCCTTTTGAGTGCGCTAGTGAATTCGCTTCAGTGAATATAACTAGTTCACTTGTAATTTTTATTTCCATTGTGTACGTTCTTGTGTGAATGTGTGTGTGTGTGGGGTGTGCGTACATGATTACAGAACGTACATGCATGTATTACATCTATATATTTGTAAATAGTTTAATATGACTTATAAATTTACTGACTACTGTTAATAAACTTTTCTCCTTGTTTCAGAGATAACAAAGATGCTCAAGCAAAGAAATTTTATTAGGCTGCCGCACAGCTGCAAGAACTGGCAACTCCACATTCTCAGGAGTGAAGTCTTTTTCTTTCTTTCAATTTTTCTTGGTAGATCATGACTTTTTATGCAGCAAATTTGTAACAGATTTTATTTTGAAAGACTATGTATGTCACTGATGTAGGTATTGTTATTGTTTGTACATCAAGACATTTGGAAATTACTAGTGATATTTTGATCTGATACTTGGGGACCTTCTATTATTGGGAAGCAAAATGGGTAATTTGGGTTTCTTGCTATTTTGGGTGCCTACGGGCATTTAGGAAAACCACTAAAATGATATTCTTCTATTTTTATTTCTAATTTTTGGGGGGCTTAATATTTGCGTAGGTTGTGTTACAGCCTTCATAACTCATAAAATTAGGATTACATTATCAAGGGAACTGTTGCAATAGATCTGGGAAGGACTAAACTATCTACAATTTCAAAGATGGTTTTAAGAAAATATGGTAATAATTTTTTCAGAATTGCTTTAACCCATCACTGCCGGGTAACAGAAGTCCCTGAGCTTGATAAACTCTGGTGATTTCTGGCAACAGCCAGACACAGGGCACGGGAGTCTGCTACATCAAGCGGAATGTCCCCCTCCAAGTGCTCTGGTGTGTTGCCGCACCAGAGTATACCACAGACCAAGTGGTTTTTATGATGCTTCTGAAATGGGTTAAAGGAGTTTCTGATTCATGCATTTGATTGTTTTTATGAATAATTTATTTTAAAGTGAATACCCTTCCCCCCCTTCCCCCCTCCCCTCCAAAAAAACAGGAAAATATATATATATGTAGAGGAAACTATCTTTATAAAGTTATTTTGAAGTGCTAAGATAAAAAAAAAAGTTGTCTAGTTTAACAGATGGTCCCCTCCAGACAGTTATTCTGATTATCCTTACTTTTTATTTATTTATTTTTTTATATAAGATGTCTTCCCAGCAGTATTTGTATGCTAAATATATTTTTTTTATTGTCTCAAAAATCCAAAAGGATGTGCAGTAAAGAAACCTCATAGCACAAGAAATCAAGGGGAGGATTGTAACACGTTTTAATTTGATTTACTTCTCTTAATCATTTGATAAAGAGAGATGTAAGATGATACCTTTCTCCTTGTTGGAGGTAGAGTACTGAGAAAAAGGTTTTATAGGCGGGAATGAAGTTGTGTGTAAATATTGTCACAATGATGTAAATAGCATAAAACCTGTGTTTTATAGCATTTTGGGATATTGAGGAGGTAGTGATGGTGGGATTTTCTTCCCACGCCATCTTGCTACATTTAGTTTGAAGCATTAACATAAACCTGTTGGTGAAATACTTAAGCACCTAATATTATGTCCACCTTGAAAGTATTTATGATCTTTTACTGAACTCTCTTAGAGGTGTGGAAGTGTATGAGAAGTTTTTATTTATTTATTTTTTATTTTGCTGTTGTCCTAAACAAAGCGAATAATTAAAAAGCATTGAGCTGTGCCGTTGCTCTCTTGATGGAAGAGGAGCTGCAGATGCAAGTGTGTAATTGAGCAGAATGTCATGCTGCAAATGTTTTATAAGTGCTTCACCTCCCTCCCCCCCCATCCAGTACTAGGATAGTTTACATTAAAGAATATCATTAGTCTAGCAAGACAGTTGTGTGAAAGTTGCAAGTAAGAAAATTTGTACGCTAGCCATGACTCTATTCGTTAATACTAACATTCCCTGTCCTGACCTTCTTAAATCTTTCAAAAAAAAAAAAAGCAAAAACAAAAAAGATCTTCCTTATTTTTTTGGAATGTGTTCTTGCCATTGGCAGTTGGCATTTCTTTTATAGATTTTAGGTTTTTTAAGCTTCTCATTTTTTCTTCACTTCAACCTCTCCATTTCCAGTTTATTTTATTTTATTATTATTTGTTAATTTTTCATTTTTTAAGATAATTTTTATTTCACACTTAATGCTATGTGAGGACTTTTTTAATACCTTGGTTATGGTTTGCCTGTGCTATTGTCTCGGTTTCCTCTTTGTAAGTTTATTTATGTTTTTGCTCATTGGCACACAGATTGTAACGAACCAGATGTTAGCTTTGTTTGATGTACAATTTTATTTTCTTCACTTGTTTGGGTTATGTTCAATTATTTGCAGTTGTACAAGTGAGATTATGTATGAATATATTACTATTCAGATTTATAGAGTTAATTTACAGACACTAGTTGTAGCGCAGTACTCGTTTATTTTAAAGCTCCTGGCAAAACGGAGTTGGCTAAATTTTAAAAGTAACATTGGATTTTATTTTTGCAACTGAACTAGTAAAAGGGTTAGTATAAAGGCAATGAAAAAGTGATCTTTTTTTATAATTATGTGAGATGGAAAGTACATTGTTGCTTTTAGTTTTTAATATTTACGTATTCACTGGTGAGTTGAATGTATTTTGTTAAGATTTTGGGATAAATTATTGAAATAAATGTTTTCTATTTTAAGGTTGTTTCTTTTACCTTCAAATTCTAAAACACTTGATTATGATTGATGTTAACTTTTTTTTATAAATACTATCGTTAACCCAATGTCACCGGGTTTATTTACTGTCCCCTTTAGATTTTAGTGAGTTTTGTTACATACAGATGGCTCCACATGTGCTCAGCAGCAAGGAGTTTATCTGTTGGTCCTCTTGACCGATTCTGATTTTCCCATTTCTTGAATTGGCGGGAAAATGCGTTTTTCTTTCCAATGATACTAATATTGACATTGTTAAAATTCTTGTTCATATTATGATTATCAAATTGTTATTAATTTTGTACAGTCTTTTCTTCTTCCCCTCTCCATTTTTCTCTTCTCCTGTCCTTTCTACTGTCCACTTCCTTAGGTGTGAGAGCCGTGTTGAAAGGATGAAAGGCTGACTTCTGCCAGTCTTGAATGGCCAGGGGAAACCATGGGCATAGCATTCCTGTGTAGTTGTATAGCCCTTACCCCTCAAGGTGACCCTGAGGGGTGGACTGTTTCTTCCCCTAGCAATGAAGATTTTGCACCCTTATTAGGAGCACTGAGGCTTGCCCCTTTGTCAACTAGCCCCACAGATATAAATTCTGATTCCCTGACCTCAGGCTCTCCTTTGACCATAGCTATGAACACTGTTACTACTACCCCTTCCTCAATGAGTACTATCACCTCAGTCCAGTCCAAATCAACCACACAGGTCATTACTCAACCTCCAGAAAGCATCCCTCCTCCCCTACCATCTTCTACTTCACCACCTCCACCCCCACAGCTTTCTTCATCTACTTCTAAACTGTTGACGTATAGCAACTAACTACTAACTCGACCCCCTTCACTACCCTTAACTATATCTCCCTATAATGCTGCATGACCTTAGATGTTTAGCCCATTTATTTTGCTATTTGCCTGTATTACTACTCTGCAGCCTTATTGTCCACCCTCCGCTGTGCTACCTATCTCAACACTACTCTAGGGATCACCCTACCTTGGACCTCAGCACTCGCCTCAACTAATTTCGCACTTGCAATCCCTTGCTTGTTGCCGTGGGGAGGCTAGGAAGGCGGTGTCTGAGGCCCAATTTAGGGATCACCCCTGCCTTGGGCCTCAGCTCTCGCCTCATCTAATTTTGCAGGGTCTTTTCTTCTCTCTCCTTCCTCTTCCTTCTATTCGTCATCCCCTCCTTCTGTTCACTTATGTAAATCGTTAACAATGCTTTACCTTCGCCCCCCACACCCCACACTATCGCTATATTTTACGCCCAACCCTATCGCTATAATTTGTATACATCGCTACTGATATTAGATGCTGAAACGGCAGAAAACTTTCAATAAATAAACAAAACCAATTTTGGACGGTGTTTTCTTTTCATTTCCTTTTCCTTCTCTTCATCCCTGCCCGTTGTTGTCGTGGGGGGGCTTAGGAGGCGGAGACTGGGACCCAATGATGGGGAACTCCCCAACCTTGGGACTCAGCCCTCGACTCAACTAATTATGCATGGTCTTTTTTTCCCTTTCCACTTTTGTTTCTGTCCCTTCACCAAACACTTCTGCTATCCACCTCCTAAGGTGTGAGAGCCCTGCTGAAAGGATGAAAGGCTGACTTTGTGCCAGTCCTGAACGGCCTGAGGGAGCCATGGGCACGGTATTCCCCTGATTTAGTTATCTAGTCCTTACCCCTCAAGGGGGGCTAATACCTCACCCCCATATTTGCTCTTCTGTTTTCCCCGACCCACCAAAATCAAATATTCCTCCTACTGTCCTTCTCATCCATTTCCTTGACCATGTCTCCACCCATTCCTCTAGTATACACGTATATACTGATGGCTCCAAATCCACCTCTGGTGCTGGTTTTGCAGTAATATTCCCAACTCGTACTTTCAAATACTCCCTTCCTCCTGAATCCAGTGTCCTTACTACTGAACTGTATGCACTCCTTTTTGCCCTAAAACACATATACTCACTCTCCTCTTCCTCTTTTACAATTTTTACTGACTCCCGTAGCTCATTAACTCTCATAAAGTCAATACACAGCACCAACCCCATTGTTTGTAAGATCCAGAACTGGTTGTTCTACCTGACCACACGCCATAAAACAATCAAATTTTGCTGGATGCCCAGCCATGTTGGAATCCCCGGCAATGAACAGGCAGATACACTAGCACGCCACGCTGCTATGTCCACATCATACCAACCACGCTTCTCACGTATCCCAGCCACGGATTATTACCCACACTTTAAGACCTTCTTGTATAAACGATGGCAATCTTTTTGGTCAAGCCTCCACACTAATAAATTACATTCTGTAAAACTATCAATCTCCTCCTGGTCAGCTCCATTTCATCGGAACAGACGTTGGGAGACTGCTCTCGCCCGCTTACGCATTGGCCACACCCGTCTAACACACTCCTATCTGATGTCACAATCTGATCCACCCCTATGTTCATTATGTAATGTTCCCCTTTCAATCGTACACATCCTATTGTCGTGCCCACGTTTTGAAGCAGCCCGTACCTCTGCTTTTCCCCACCTATCCTCCCTTCACCGACCTCCCAACCTATCAGACATCCTTACAGAATCCCACACTTTCTGCATCAACAACCTGTTCTCTTTCCTCAAACGCATACATATCCTTTATCTAATCTAACACCCGACCTTAACCCTTTAACTCACCAATTCCTTTGCCCAGCTTAGACAACTAATCACTAACTCAACCACCTTTCACTAATATTAACTATAGTGCTACATGACCTTAGATGTCTAGCACATTTATCTTGCTTTTAACCATTAACCATTAACCTTTACTCTGCAGCCTTATTGTCCACCCTCCGCTGTGCAACCTATCTCAACACTACTCTAGGGATCACCCTACCTTGGACCTCAGCACTCGCCTCAACTAATTTCGCACTTGCAATCCCTTGCTTGTTGCCGTGGGGAGGCTAGGAAGGCGGTGTCTGAGGCCCAATTTAGGGATCACCCCTGCCTTGGGCCTCAGCTCTCGCCTCATCTAATTTTGCAGGGTCTTTTCTTCTCTCTCCTTCCTCTTCCTTCTCTTCGTCATCCCCTTCTTCTGTTCACTTATGTAGATCGTTAACAATGCTTTACCTTCGCCCTCCCCACCCCACACTATCGCTATATTTTACGCCCAACCCTATCGCTATAATTTGTATACATCGCTAATGATATTAGATGCTGAAACGGCAGAAAACTTTCAATAAATAAACAAAACCAATTTTGAAAGGTGTTTTCTTTTCATTTCCTTTTCCTTCTCTTCATCCCCTTCTTTCCACTTATTCTAATCGTTAACTCCTTTTACCATTTTCGGCACAGTACTTTATCATAATGCTATATTGATCTCCGATGTCTAGCACATTTATTTGCTTTAATCATTAACTATTCTGGGGATCCACAAAAATCGCCTTATGAATGATCTAGATACCAATCTCCAGTATCCCGGTGCCTACCCTCTTCCTGCACGCCCAACTCCTCGCGTAAGATAAGCAAATCGTTCCACCCCATCTCCCGCATCCTCTCCTACGCCATCCTCTC